CCCCCCCCCCCCCCCCCCCCCCCCCCCCCCCCAACTGGTGACTACCAACAGGTTGAGCTCCCACCTGCGCTTCCAGTGCCGCGGCGGCCTCCTCCTCTGCCTTCTCTTTTAGGCTCGCCTCCTCCGCCGCTGCCGCTGCCGCCGCCGCCTCTTGCTGGGCCTTGCGCTCTTCCTCCTCCTTCTGTATCCTCGCCTTTTCCTCTTCCTCCGCCTTTACCCTGGCGGCCTCCTCTTCCTCCGCCTTTACCCTGGCGGCCTCCTCTTCCTCCGCCTTTACCCTGGCGGCCTCCTCTTCCTCCGCCTTTACCCTGGCGGCCTCCTCTTCCTCCGCCTTTACCCTGGCGGCCTCCTCTTCCTCCGCCTTTACCCTGGCGGCCTCCTCTTCCTCCGCCTTTACCCTGGCTTCTTCCTTGGCCCTCATCTCCCCCTCAAACTTGGAGATAAGGGTGTGCGAACGAGCGTTGAGAGACTGCTGCCGGTGCTCAGCCTCCGACACGGCTCGGGTGAAGGCTGCCGGGAGCAAGAACAGGGGTCACAACATACCGGCGGGGGGGTGTCATCGTCGTTCCATGCCATGCGTTCGTAACGCCGCTGCAGGGGGTTGTCGAGAAAAAAGAGGCGGCAGATAGAGAAGATGCATATGTCTGCAAAACATTGCAGGTGCGGTGAAAGCGGGATGGGAGTACCAGAATAAATGGGGAACCGCAGACCCCTGCGCCATACCCCCCCCCCGTAGCGATCGCCCCGTCCTCAGGTAAGACTGAGCTCTATTCTCTTGGTCTTTCCTGTCACTGGCTTTTTTCGTAGTGAGGGTGTGCACCACACCAGATAATTGTGTTGATCAGGAGGGAACGTATCGCATCCCTCGTGTCAGCTCAGATCGCTGAAGACAAAACCCCAGCCAATATGACACGTCTCCGAGAACAAAAGTGGAACTCCATGTTGGACGCGTTCTGACTCGCGCATTCCCTACGTATGGCAAGCTGCACCGCGCGCGCGTTGTGTAGTCTTGTCGTGGTTGGGGTGTGAATACTCTGTCTTGTATCCTGCATGCATCTAATTGTTCTGCCGGCAGTGAGTTTGAGATACAGCCAGCTGTGGCCACCTGCGAGCGGCCACAACAAGGTCTATGCTGCCCAGCCTTCTAGGTAAAAGGTTTCGAATGAGGCAGGTACTGGAATGTCATCGCTGTAGTAGCCACCGGCGCGCAGATCTCACGTGTTTCGTGGCAAGGGTGTGCGATACAGCCTCCTGCGAGCGGCGACAACAAGGTCTGTGTGCCGTCAAAGACCACCCTACGGAGAAGCACGTTTCGAAGGACAGCCTCGTCCCAAACATCCTAGTTAGAAGGCTGGACCTGGGCAACAAAGACCTTGGTGTCTCGCTCGCAGGCGGCCACAGTTGGCTGTATCTCGCCCCGGTACACTTCCTTGCCCCAGTACACGCGTGATCTGCGCTCGCCGGCGACTCATCCAGCGATGACAATCCAATAGCACATGCGTCTATCGACAGCGAGGTTGACTACGTTTGCCTGAGTGCGCGGTCCTCGCAGCTCTCTTCGTGTTCGTTCTCCCGCAAAAACTGGCATTATCTTGCCACAAGATCAACCTCGACGAGCATGTGCAGATCGGCGCAAGTTGGCCGCGACAGACTTGCATACCGCGGCTAGTCGCAAGGGTGATTTGTGTGCTGTAACGCACAATCGGTACGGGTACAGGATGCCGCACATGCTCCGACGCCCCAAACAAGCCAACTCACTTTCCGAGTCTCCGGCAATGTAGAGCTGGCTCAAGAGATAGTTGAAGCGATGAGCGCTGACCACACCTTCTCCGTCTAGCCCGTATTTGGCGGCCTCCCCCAGGACATCCACTGCCATCTGGGGTGAACCCGCCTTGCAACAAGCCTGGCGAACGGAGGCCGTGAAAAGGGGGGTGAGCAACCGTGATAGCCAGTGGTCCCAAGATCAAAACGCGCCAAAAAAGGGAATACTTCGCCCGAAAAATAGCTCACCAAACGTTAGGGGAGGGAGGAAGAGGCGTACTCATGTTTTCCATGACCTATTTACCGTAAATGACACAAGATAACACACCCCCTGGACCGATTTTCAAATCTCGGTTTCCCAACGACAGAAAGAGTGCCGAAAACGGCGGCGTTGGAACCGTCTTGTCGAGAGCTTCTCCAAAGATATATCGTTTTCGCTCATGCGTCCTCTTCGTCGTGGCGTATTCGAGCTTTGAAAATTGGTCCAGGGAATGTGTTATCTTGTGTCATATACGGTAGTTGTTTAGACCATTGACCGCGCGTCCTCGAGGTTGATCGAGGAGGACGCTTTCCAAGAGGCGAATATCATAACATCAACCCAACCGTTCGTTCGTACGGCAGACTGGACAGCTTGACCTTGAGCCAAGCAGCCCGGAAACGATTTATCGCCCCCCTCGACGACCAGCACATCTCAAGCTGTGCACTCCGTTCTGCATGGCAAAGATCTCTCCCACTTTCTACGTAGTGTAGACACGTGTTTAGATACGTGTAACATGGTAGATCACCTTGACGAAGAGAGTGGCGGTCTTTTTTTCGAGGTCGATGCCCTGCGTCTTGAAGATCTTGAGTCCCAGGCACGCGTACTTGAGATCTTCCGCGGACGTCACTCGCTCCAGGATGCGGTTCAGAACGCTCGCCTTCACCTTTGCGGTCCCGAGCCGGGGACAGAAACAAGAAAAGTAACGTTCCAGTCGCAGCAGAGCATGAAAGATCCAACACCGATTTCTGTCGCTCGCGTCGTCAATATGGATATGTGCGATGTCGGCTCAGCCACTTTCAGGCGTTGACTGCCTCGACTCCAAGGATAGTTTTGTGCGTTTTTGTGTGTAATGCAAGCTGGGCGACACAGCAATGATGCTGCCAACCTACATGGATGAGTTTTTACTTTTGCACTGACAGACGATTGGCAACACTATCATCAAGCCATGACACAAAGCAGGCGAAAAACGAACCCAGCCGGTTTTTTTCACCTCTCAAGCCTTCAACCCATTCCTTTCGACTGTGGGTATACGTCTCGAACGGGTAATCAGTCCTCTGTGATTGTATGTAGATTTCCTTACAAAGAGCCACAGCGCCCTTTCCGTTCTGAATGCCGTCGCCGACGAGAAAGAGGATACCAGTGCGCCCGCCTGCCATCCGCCCCCCCCGCCCCGTCGGAGACAGACGAACATTGAAAACAAATGGTCACCGAACAGGCTTGTCGAGCCTGTAAACCCACAGGCCAGAAATCGCTAAACATGCTGGTCGGGGAACCGTAGAAATGGAGGTTGACCGTCACGCAATGCCTCGAATCCATTGCTCGTCTATCCTTGCCTCTTATCGGGCCAAGAGACAATAATTATTTACTTGTGTTTCCCACGGGAAAACTAAAGAAAATAAGCTTTGTTACAGTACCTTTCTTGTCCCCCTGGCGTGGTACTGCATAGCAGCAAAGGCCTCCCCGATGGTTTGGTCCCTGCCCGCTGGCGGCGTGCCGGGGGCCCAGTCCTGCTTTCTTTTCTCCCCTGAAGGTGCTGCTGCTGCTGCTGCTGCTGCTGCTGCGGATGAGTTATTGAGTCCCCTTGTGGATGAAGATATCCACTGCTGCTGCTCCGGCTGTCGCTGCCATTGAGTGGCATTCGCGGCTGTCGAGTTGAAGCAATTCCATGTTACCAAGGAAAGGGTGGGGGGGGGGAATTCCAAATGGCGTGAAGCTGGGTTTGAACTGGTTCCATGTATGCGTAGCTGGCCACGACATGTCCACATGTGAGCGTTGTGTGGAGCGGATGTACGCCTGTATCACGTGGGCAACGACAGACCACTGCATCACTCTTCTCTTGCTCGAGGTTCCTTATTCTTTCTGGTTCTGTCTCTTTCCGGCAGAAGGTTGTAGTGTTGCATTGTGTGTTGAACCCCTGCGGCCAATACTGGCTCTATTCTCGAGGAGGACCAGCGGAAACGATTCAGCGATCTACACAGCATCTCAGACGCAGCCAAACACTTAGAAGTTTATTGTAGACTATCGTTGTCGAGAATATCGCACGTTGAGTCTGCACCCACCAAACAGCAGCAGCTTCACGCAGGAATACCTTCGCCTCGTTGGTACATCTGCAGCAGCCGTGCATACGCACGTTTCATTATAGATCAATTTATCACCACTACGAGCCATGCTTCTTCGGAGTCCCGGAAACAACTTGGATGGAAGCAGCGAAGGTAGACCGGGGGGTACCGTGGCATACAGGGGTACTGCAGGGAGTTTAAGAGGTTCGTTCATGGCCTCCTGGCACAAGAAGGAAGAGGAGGCTAGCCGACAACGAGCGCTCAAACGAAACAAGAAGCCCGACATCAACACGTACACGGCAACAACCACATTGGTGGGAGGGGTACAGCAGGCGGACGAGACGGCGAGGAAAGGCAGGAAACGCCAAGAGGCGGACCGAATGGCGCGAAACACCGTGCCGAAATGACCCTTTGGCTTGACTTATCCCCC